CCAGAGAGACAAAAAGCAAGAAATCATCTCCCACGGGGGGATGCCATCATCCCTTCTCCAGTCTCCTCTTTGGATTTTGGGCACACGTGCACATGCGCCCAGCATGAGATTTAAGGACTTGAACTGTGGTCGACTACATGGGAGTCCAGCAGCGTAACCATTATGCTGTATGCTGGTCTCTGCTTTGGTTTTTCAATTCCTGATCACACTCCTCAATGGGACTTTCCTGTCTTCTCACTCTCCCCTGCTCCACTCCACTTCAGGTTTTCCCTCAAGCTTCCAGTACCTTCTCCACCTTCACTCTGAGCTGGTGACTGACTTCCTGTTGATCTCACTGAGAAAGCTCACAGAAGAGAGAAGCCATGAGTCCACCTTGACCCGCCTCGGGTCTGGGCCTGTAGCTCTGCCCAGTCCTTGTCCCCACCCAGTTTACTTCCACCAGCCCAGCCCCTGTCCCCTCTCCCCTGCTCTCAGCTCATCGGGGATCCCCCTAGAGTAGAGCTTTGCCATCAGCACATCACAGCCTGTGGTCCCCCCACACACACACACACACACACCTGTCCTCATGCCCTGACAGGAGCTCTTCAGGAGGCAGCTCCCAGTCCCAGGTTCCTGGGGTGTCTGGAAAGCATCTGAGACTGCGTATCAGGGACAAGCTCTTAGTCCCCATGCTGAGCCTGCCTCACTCTTCATGAATGCCACCCTCCAGCTCTTCAGACCATCCTTCAATTTTTTTTTTCTTTTCATTCTTTTCTTGTTTATTTTTACCATTTTTGCTATAGGGCACATGTGCTTACCAGAGACAGAGAGAGAAACCACCTCACAGAGGTGTTGGTCACACCACAGTCCCTTCTCCTAATTTTGGGTACATGTGTACATTCACCTGGTGTAATATTTTTAAGCTGCTGGATCTGGGACTCAAACCGTGCAGACTAAGTGGAATCCAGCACCTTAACCTTTACACTACCCGTTAGTCTCCTTGGGAGTTAATTTTGAAGCTACCTTCTGCTTTCTCTTCCCCTGTTTAATCCATTAGCAAATTCTAATTGGTTTCGTCTTCCAAAAATGTTCACAGCCCAACTTTCCTTGCAGCTGCCCTGTTCACATTCATGTCGACATGTAGCCTCAATGGTTGTACTTCTGCTCCCCCGTTAGAAGCTCCCGCCAAACCTTTAGAGTGTGACGGTTTCTGTCACTCTCCTCATTCCGTTGCTCTCATCAGAGCCCTTTCGGTAAACTCTCGGGCCCTCTGTTACCTCATTGAGTGCACCTGCCCCCAGCTGTCCCCCTGGTGCCGTTCGCGGGTGCCCACTCGGACCTCTGCAGAGCAGTGGCCTGCGTGTCAATGTGGCTGTGCCATGCGGGCCTCCATAAAGATGCTCATGGCCCACATCCTCTCCTCCCAGAAGTCTTTGCGGATGGTTTTTCCATGATTCCTGTTTTTATGGCTGCTGCCTCATGCCGAAACGCTCCTGTGCCCCTTCCGTGTTTCCTGTGGTTCTTACATGTTGGTGTACTGTGAGAAGCCCTCACTTACTGCCATCTGTCTCCTGTACTAGAGCAGGAGTCGGGGCCTGGCCTGCTCACTGCTGTGCCCAGCACCTTGTGGTGTGTCCAGCTCACGTCCAGGGTCTGATGCCTAGAACTTAAACGTCATCTGGAATAAAGTTAAAGAAGGGGGCTAAAGACCTTCCGTTTCATGTTTTTATGATACAGGATAATATTTTCAGTATTACTCAAGAAAAGTTATACTTACATTTTTTGTATTTTATGTTCTTTTGGGGGCCACAGTTAGCATAATGGCTATGGCTCTGGACTCCTATGTAGTCGACTGTAGTTTGAGTCCCAGACCCAGTGGCTTAAACTCACACCGAACATAATGCGCATGTGTGTCCAAGATCCTGAGAGAAGAATGGAGGAGAAGGGATTGCAACATCGCTGTCCCCCCTGGGGGGTTGATTTCTTGCTTTCTGTTTCTTTGTCTCTGTCTTTCTGGTGAGTGCACATGCCCTACAGCAAAAACCTCTTCAAAAAAAAAATGTACTTTTGCAGTCACCATAAAGGATATTTAGCTCAGTTTAGAAATAAATAGTAGAAAAATAAGAATCAGTAGACTGTGGAGTGGTCCCTGCGTCAGGTGCCCATGGAGTCCTATAAAGTCTATTCTTCACTTGAGGGAGCTTCTGTTACTACCTCCATTTTTACAGAAAACCAGAAACAGGAGTTGGCCGGCATATCCAAGGTCAGGGAGTGGAGGCAGAGCCGGTGCTAGACTCCAGGGCACATGACCTGTGTACTGCTTATTTTTATAAATTCTGCTTAGAGAACGTGCTACGAGTAGAATGAAGTCTCATAAATCTTCACTCACATTCCCTGCGTTTAGATTCTGGCTCGCTTGCTTTATACTTTATTCTATATGTTTTGTATTGGTTTTTGTTCATTTTTTTTCCTGAACCATTTGAAAATGAGTGGTAGGCGTGGCTCCCTTTTAAATACTTGAGTGTGTATTTCTTAAGACCAAGGCCATCATCTGATACAATCAGAGTATGATTATCAGTGCCAGCATATTTAGGACTGATGGAATGCTCACATCCATAGTTGTGTCCTTATCCCATCTCGCTGCTGTCGCCTCATCCTCCCCTTTTCCATCCAGCATCATATGGTACAGATGGTGGGAGCCATACACCAGGGCCAGAAACTAAGGTGCGATAAAGGTGGCTTTTCAAACCTAGCAATAATATGACATAGCTAGGAAATGTTCCTGAAATTAAAACACATTTGAAAAAGTGAGAAATCACCTCCCAGGGGAGATGGCCAAACCACAGTCCCTTCTCCACGAATGCTCATGTGCCCCACGTGACTTTTAAGCTGCGGGGTCTGCGACGCGAACTGTGCAGGAGTACAGTAATGGAATAATTATACCATCCTGGTCCCCGTTTCTGCTCTTCATAATTGATAATGTCAGTAAGGTTATCAACATCTGGCCAGAACCATCGTGACCCGTGTCTCCTGGGGCCCACACTTGAAGTTCTGACCTTCGATGGCGCCCTGTGGGTCTGCAGTTGAACTGTGAATGCTCCCTGTTTCTGTCCCATGTGCAGCTGCTGCGTCTCACAGGGTCACTGCCTTGCTTAGGCTTCACTTTGACACGTGTCCGCCGATGTCATTTCCGTCCTGAGTGTTGCCTCTGCTTTCCTCCTTGCCGTGTGCTTCTGCAGGGCCGGTGTATCTTGTCGATACAGCCAGTGCCTGAGAGAGAGAGCAGTGATGTTCTCAGAAGAGCTCTGAGCACACAGACAAGCCCGCAGATGAGCCAGTGATGCTGGCGTGGAGGCGCGGTTGTGCTTGACCGTCCGCGGCCCACTGTTCTGTGTGCGCGGATGCGCGTTGTTGACAGTGTACACCCCAGACTCCAGTCTCCTCTGGTGATGTGGTGAAGTTGCTCATGACGTTCTTTAACAAATCAGAATCTGCTAGTTTTTGTACTTTTTTTCTTTACGGTTGAATGTTAAATGGTCAAAAGAATCTTGAATTATTTATTGGTCTTTATTTTGTTTCATTTTGGCGTGGTTTTTATCCTTTGTAAAAATATCAGTACCTTCGACTCACTGGCTCTGCAGAGCCGTGAGTGTCTTAGTGTGTCTTGTTTGTGTATTTAGTGCTAATTTTGCAAAACAGGAAATTACATTTTAAAATAGTAATATTTTTAAAATCCATATCAATCATAGTAGGACATAAGTTGTGTCGATAGTCAAATAAAATTAGCATCGCGATTTTGTATTTGTTGATGTAGATGTGCCTTAAAATATAACGAAAGCTGTCTGTTGTATTGAAATAATCTGTTTCTGTTTTTCTCTCTCCTCCTCTGGCCTCTTTACCAAGGAGTCAGGCACTGCCCGCATAAAGTTAAGAAAGCTAGACGCTTTCTCCCTTTGGTCTTCTGTTCCCTTGAACCTCCTCCTACGGGTACTGCATTCATATTTGCCCAGGCTCTCCTGTTAACCAAAGCACCCCCGAGAAGCTAACTCTAACCAGATGCTTATAGGTCGTCCTGTACACCTCATAGCTTTATCGGCTATGGAGGATGTGCTCTCCACTGGCCAGGAGCGATAGCTGGGGCCCAGTTTGTGTCCAGCAACCTCTGGGCTGCCCTTTTGGAGAGAAGACTTTGTTTGCCTATTTGCTGGTTTTTAAATGCATGACAGGGCAGGAAATTGCTTCTCAGTCTGTCTGTGATGTCTGAGCATTCCCCACTGGGTTGCGGGCCAGGTTCCCTGCTTCGTGGGATGTCTATTACAGCATGCAGCCCAATGAGGGGAGTGGTCAGCGAGAACCCACCCATCTGCTTGTTGTGCTTCGGGGATAGATTCGATACCCAGGGATGCTACAGGGCAGGACTGCCAGGCTATCTGGAGACTAGGGAAGTGAGGATTGCAGTAACTGGACCAGTAACTGCTCCCAACGTTTCAGGGCAAAGCCGGCTGGCTGTTCGGTGCTCATGCACACGGGGCCTTACTTGTCAATAGAGCCTTAGTGCTGAGCTCCCGCTGTGTAGTCAGGGGCCTGGCCGAACCTCCAGAGAGTGGCACAGTCTCACTGCTACTAGCCGGGAGCTCATTGCCCCCTCGGTGATTAAACATAGTTACCAGTTGGTTTCGGTTTAGTCGGGAGGACACAGATTCCCTCTGGGGAGGTAGAAGCCATTTTTCACATTTATCAACCAATTTAAAGTCTACCATACTGCTCTGTAACTGTGTGTAACGTGTTGACAACCTAAATCTGGCAGAATGCCCTTAACTTGAGAGACAACTAAACATTTACTACTGTAGTCTTCTCTTAACTTTACTGTTAGACTTTGGGGGTAACTTTTAAGTTTTTCTTACACTTTGATTTACTTGTCATTTTAATAGTGTGTTTTCCCCTCTCTCCCTCCTCTCTCCTGTCTCTCCTTCCCTCTGTCCCCTGCACCCCCTTTCTTTGCATGCCACCTGGATCCACAGATGAAATTAGTGGGGACGGTAATACTTATTTTCACATTTGTCTTACTACTATGAGATAATTATTTATGGAAATCTATATAGCTGACTGTTCAATTAAAAGCATAATATGGATTTGATCTAACAGAACCAGCTACAGAATGGTGTGCAGAAATGATCTCTTGAAAATTGTGTAGAACTTTGACATGAGAAGAACAATCAGTTTATTCTTTCTTAGTGGAAAATTTGAGTTGTATATATTTGTGGGGAATTTTCTAGATTTCATTGTTAAAACTTTAGAGTATTAGTTAATTGTCAAAATGCTGTCAGCCAGCAAAAGTAGTCAGCGTCATGCTTAAAAGCAGTAAGTGATAGAGATCATGCAGCGTGTTCCCTGGTACGGTGTGCTAGCGTGTGTGTGTGTGTGTGTGCACGTGTGATGTGCGAGCATGCGTGTGGTGTACGAGTGTGTGTGTGGTGTGTGTGTATGGTGTGTGAACGTACTTAGACATACACATAAGATCATTCTTAGTTTGGGAGTGAGGTAGTGAAAAGGAAAGAATGAAAAGTAATTTTTAAGAGTCACACAGATTAATGTAATGAGGAAAATAGCAGTAGTGAAAATGGTTGTTTTTTAAACTATTAGTAGTTGGTTGCTCTTGAACTGGACATGTTTAAAACACACTTAGTATCTTATGTTTGCCATTTACTCCATGTACGGACCACATGAAACTTTACAAAGCTCCTTTACTACGGGAACAAAGTTAGGGGGGACTTGCATTTCCGTCCTCACATTAAATAGAAGAGTACTTTTACTGAAGACTGCCCCTGTATTGTGCTCAGGTAACTCGAGTTGAATGGGCAGAGCACTTACAGGGAAACCGTAACTCAGTATGGCTCCTGGAGTTTGAAGCCACAGACGGCGCGTGGCTTCTAGGTCGTAGCTTGGCAGCCGTGTCCACTGCAAGCTCCTGAGCGCAGGCGCCAGGTGGGCCTGGCTCCTCATTGCAGGTGGCCACTCTCCGCCCGGGCTTGTCTTTGCCATTTCGCAGATGAGGACATTGATGCGCAGAGGGTAAGAGGCAGGGCCGAGGCTCCCAGCAGGAGCGTCAAACCTAGGCCCTGCCCGCCCCTATCCACTGCCCCACCCAGCATCAGCCCACTAGTCCAGCCATGTCCAGCAGATTGCTTCATCTCTGTGTCTTCATTGGTCAGAGGGCCCAAATGGTTGTAGATAAATGTCTAAAATGGTTGTGGCACACATTGGGAGAATGCAAACGTTTTCATGTATTTTCCCCACATCGGAACTTCCCAGCCCTGTGAGTTAGCCAGGACAACTGTGCTTCTCCCCACTTCACATAAGCTGAGCCTTACAGATTTGATCACTCAGTCTTGGCCAGGAGCCCTCAAACCAAGGCCCATGGGCCAAACAAACGGAGCCCACCCATTCTTATACCGCCCCTTGAGTTGTGTGTGGTTTTCACATCTTTTTAAAATAGTTGGAGGAGGGCCAGCAGGTGGTGTGGTGTTTAAGGCACTGGACTCTCACGTGGCCAACTATAGTTCAAGTCTCAGACCTGGAGGCTTCAAAATCACGCTGGGCACATGTGTGTGCACCAGAAATCCCAAGAAGAGACCAGAGGAGAAGAGATTGCAATGTGGCCATCCCCAGGGTGTGTTCTCACTTTCCCTCTCATTATCTCTCCTCCTCTCTCTCTGGCAAGTGCACGTGCCCCCATGCCCTATGACTAAAACTTTTTTAGAAAATGTAAAATAGTTGGAGGGAAAATCTAAACTAGTATTTGTGATTTCAAAACCACATAAATAGGGACCAGCAGTTAGCGTAATGGCTATGTCGTTGGACTCCCATGTAGTCGACCATGGTTCAAGTCCCGGACCCAGTGACTTAAAACTCACACCGGGCATGTGTGTGTGCGTGCCCAAGATCCCGAGAGGAGAAGGGATTGCAGTGTGGCTATCCCCCCTGGGGGGGTGATTTCTCGCTTTCTGTCTCTCTGTCTCTCTCTGTGTCTGTCTGGCGAGCGCACGCGCCCTATAGCAAAAACCTCTCAAAAAAAAAAAAAACCCACATAAATAGGATGTTACTGAGCACAGTCCATCCGTGTGTGTGGTCTGGAGCTGCTTAGGACTTATCATTTGAATGCCAAAGGTGCGCAACTGTAAGCGGGCAGGCAGCTTGGCCAGCAGTCCCAGGCTCTCCCGGCCTGCCCTTCTCCAGACAGTCTGCCGCTCCTGATCTTCATCAAGGAGCGAGGTCATACTGTTTCGGTTTTTCTTTTGTTTGTTTGTTTGTTTGTTTTTAGCGTTTATGTATTTCAAGGGGGTGGGAGGGAAGAAAGGAGAGGGGCACTCCCACAGAGTCGTCACATTACCCTCTACCCCTGCTCTGGGCCCGCCCGGGTCACAGGCGCACGCACATGTGCCCTGCGTGTTTACAGGAAGGCCTTCGGATGCACATAGGGCCTTCCCACGTGGCTGCAGTGTAACAGCGGTGTGCCACCAGGCGAGATGGGCTCTTCTTGCCTTCTAAAGAACTCTATGGCACTGGCCTCGAGGTACTGGTGCATCTGGGTGGTTCAGGTTGGACAAGAAACTGAAACTGGCAGGTCTCACCCAGTTCTCCGATAACCTGATCAGTGTAAAAATGGCAGTGTTGAGGACTGATGACTCTTCAGGCCTCGGCCCCTGACTGGGCCTGTCCTCCAGGAGAGCACCCAGAAGCCAATTGTCAGAAGTGCTCACTACTGCCCCCAGGAGAGAAAGGAAGAGGGATGACAGAGTCACGGTGTCAGCCTGCAGTGTGGGAGAGCCATCAGGTTTTCAGTACCTAAGGAGTGAGCTTGCACCCTTGGTTCAGTTCCTTTCCCACACAGACCAAGGGGTGGCATCCCTTCCCCTCTGACCCATTCCTCCCAGCCTCCGAGTTGTCTTCTTCACAGGAACTCCGAAAGGATCAGGCTCTGTAAGTGCCAGAGCATATGCCTTCTGTCATGTGGGCAGCAACTTTACTATGTCTCTTTAATTTGCTTTAAAATAAAGACATGGTGGGGCCAGCAGATGGCATGGAGGTTAAGGTGCTGGACTCCCACGTGGCTGACCACGGTTTGAGTCCTGGACCTGACCACTGTTTGAGTCCTGGACCTGATGTCTTGAAAATCACTCCACGTGTGTGTGCACATGTGCCCAAAATTCCAAGAGGAGAATGAAGGAGACAGAATTGTGGTGCGGTCATCTCCCCAGGGGATGATTTCTCACTTTCCGTCTCTCTGTCTCTGGTGAACACATACACCCTACAGCAGAAAGCAAACAATAAAAGATAAGGATTTGCTAACTTTTCACTCCTATTTTCTGAGCTGTCAATTTCTGTTTTTTTAATGTCTTTCATTTTACTAATTTTATCACATATTGTGAGGCCAAGCTATTGAAGTTACCATGCTATCCAAAGTTTTAGAAGTCTCTTTTGGGGGGAGGGGGGATTTTTGCTATAGGGCATGTGCGCTCGCCAGAAAGACAGAGAAAGATGGAGAGACAGAAAGCAAAAAGTCACCTCCCAGGGGGATGGCCACACCGTAATCCCTTCTCCTCCATTCTCCTCTCGGGATCTTGGGCACGCACGCACATGCGCCCAGTGTGAGTTGAAGCTACCAGGTCCAGGACTTGAACTGTGGTCAACTACGTGGGAGTTCAGTGACATACCTTTATAACCAACTGCTAGGCCCGAAGTCTCCTTCTTAAAAATTTTATTTGTAAGGTTTTTGCTCACTGGAGAGAGAGACAGATAGTAAGAGGGGAAGTGAGAAGTCACCCCCAGGGGGTAGACCACAGTAATCCCTTCTCCTCCTGGGATTGGGCACATGTACTTGCGCTCAGCGTGATCTTCATGCCACCAGGTTTGGGACTTCAACTGCAGTCAGCCATGTCAAGTCCAGCACCTCAACCACCATGCCACCTGTGGGCTCTAAAAGTCTCCAATTTAAAATTCTTTTTTTTTTTTTTTTTTTACTTTTTAAATGTCTTAACTGGTGAGCCAGGCATTCCAAAATTGTCTCCCAGGTACACTGGTCCAGACGAGCCTTTCTGGGAGCATTCCCAGAGCAAAACTATTGTCCATATAGTAGGGACATTGGATAGTTTCAAGGCCCTGGGCGTTTGTCCTCACCAATAAAAGTCCCTGTTAACTTTGAGAAAGATAATAATAGCAAAGCACAGTAATTCATCTGAGCTCTGTCGCGGAGCACTGTGCCGAACACCACCTCCCTGCAGGTTGACTTGGGCTCTTGAGAAAGTTACCCGTCTCTTTTGGGCCTCAGTTTGCTCCTGTAAAGCAGGGATGATGATGATAGTACCACCTCACAGAATTTTATGGAGGGTTCAGTGATAGTTATACATACACGGGTATGTGTAACAGTGTCTAGCATACGGCGAGATCTTGGTGTTGGTTGTCATCATCATTAAAATAGAGAATGCAGATCTAGTTTCCTTTATTTGTGCCCAAATCTTTAGATCTGTTTCGTTTTCCTTGAATTTTCCTACTTTGACATTGTTAATTTGGTGAGGGGAGGGAGAGCTGCCCAGGTAGCTTCAGCTGGGCTCTAAGTTTTCAGAGCCTTTGAGTATGTAAAAATGCCTCTCATCTCAGCGTTATATTATCCGACAATCCTTAATCCAGGGAAGAAAATCTACATAAGCAAATCAATCTCAAGAATTCTTAGAAAAGTAAGTCAAGTTTTAGCACGTGAGAGCCCCTGTGGAGGGAGGGTGCAGACCGTTGCAGACCCATGCACTTGGAGCAGTGCCAGCTGTTCCTAAAAGCCGAGCCAGGAGGTTGATTGCAGTAGAGGTCTTCGTCACAGTACGGAACACGCTGCTGTGAAGGGTTCCCAGGGAGATCCCGTCCAGCCCCAGAGGTTTGATAAGGATTCACACAGCTTAAAAACAAACAGAACAAAAACCCTCACAGGCTCTTCCTTACTGTTGTGTGAATTCATTGAAATATATGTAGCATGATTTTTTCCCAAATCAGTGTGTCTGCTAGCCTAATACATATATTACCCATTTTTTAAAAGGTTGTATTTTATTTTATTAAGTAGATTATATATTATCTGCTGTGTGGAAGGGGAGCACCTTTACCACCATGCCACCTGCCAGCCCCAGCCATTTTATTTTTGCTCCTTCAGAATTTACTGGGGCGGGACCAGCAGTTAGCGTAACGGCTCTGTCGCTGAACTCCCACGTAGTCGACCGCAGTGGAGTCCAGGACCCGGTGGCTTAAACTCACACCGGGCACATATGCGTGCGTGCCTGAGATCCCAGGAGGAAAATGGAGAAGGGCCATCCCCCCCCGGGGGGGGGTGATTTCTTGTTGTCTCTCTGTCTCTCTCTTGTTTCGGGTGAGTATCCCCATCCTAGAGCAAAACCCTCTCAAAAAAAAAAAAAAAAAAACAGAATTTACTGGGGGTTTTATAAAAACAGTCTGTGAAGGCATTACAGACAAACCAGGAAGACCAGTGGAAAGTACTGGCACACAGGAACCCCAAGCCTTCAGCTGCTTGGTCTCTTCCATAGAAGCCTCCGGAGAGGAAGCGGAATAGTGAGAGGAGCTGTCCTTTTCTCTCTCTCTCTCTCTCTCTTTTTTATTTTATTTATTTATTTTTTTTAGAGGTTTTTGCTATAGGGAGCATGTGCTGGCCAGAAAGAGAGAGAAAGAGACAGAGAGTGACAAATCACCCCCCGGGGGGGGATGGCCACACCACAGTCCCTTCTCCTCCATTCTCCTCTCGGGATCTTGGGCACATACATGCGCCAGGTGTGAGTTTAAGCCACCGGGTCCAGGACTTGAACCTTGGTTGACTACATGGGAGTCCAGTAACATAGCCATTTTACCAACTCTATACTGCTCCTGACCTATTTAATATCTGAATGAAATACTGATGGCAGCATAGACGGAAGAACTTGTAGCTTTTAGTCTCCTGGATTAAATGTAGATAATCAGGTTCCATTTTTAAACAGAGCCTTCTTTTCAAATGCATTATCAGACATTGCTGCCACTCCTCCAGTGACCCACAGAATGGCCCAGCAATTAAAATCCTTATGCTTGTTGCCACTGAAAAATTTCCTTTTTTCCAGAAAGAGAAAACAGATAAGACTTAAGTGGTTTTTCAGTATGATTGTTACCCAAGTGAGTGTGTGTTTGTGTGTATTCCCTGTTAATGTCGTGGTGGATTTTTAAGTTACTGCATTACCAAGAAAAGCGAGTAGAAACATGGAGCTCCTTGACATTATCTCAAAAAGTCACAATTCTCTGCTCTCATTTTATTCTTTTTGGCAGATTTTTAAACCTTTTTGACATAAATGTGTGTTCTTCAAATGTCCAAGTAAACAAGTCATGCAAGATCCATTTCTGAGTTACATTTTTCAACTCTAAGCAAATGGAATAAATTCGCCCAGTTAATCTCTGCAAAATTGGGCTGCCGTTTGTTTTCTGGAGGAGAAAGTTCAGTTTAGACTACTGAGTCTTACCGTTACTAGTAAAAGTGGGTACTGAGTTTTAGAGGTAGCAGCCGTGTCAGAGAAGTCCCGTAGGCAGCAGTGTGGTTTCAGATGTGTGCGGAGTGTCCTGTGCAGCGGCGTGAGCTCTGCAGTCAGTACCCATCGGCCATGTGCATCGTGTACATAGACGCTTCCTGTCTCTATTCTCGACAAGGCTCCTGTCGTAGCCCTGTTTGCTCTCTGGTAATCAAGTCTGTGTTACAACAAATCGAACAACGATGTCACTTTTATTTCCATAAATGACTCATGTGTGAGCAGAAGTTGAGTAATCATCTTGTAAAGATATTTTGGCATAGTTGGGGGATTAGGCAGACCATTCTGCATTTTCCAATTGTTTTCAAGTCCGGAAGGTCAGATATTTGACCTTTTCCAACATAACTGTTTCCTTTCCTGCAGAAACGGACGATTATGCTGAGATTATCGATGAAGAGGATACATATACCATGCCCTCAAGTAAGTGGGCTTCCAGTTTTGTTCTTGTTCAGATTTGTCAGATAGTGCTTCACAGTCACACGCTTTAGATATTTACTGTCCTTTTAGAGCCATCTTTAATCCCTCATTGAGTACTTAACAGAAATGTTCTTTTCAGCCTTGAGAATTCTCTTATATGTGCCCACTCCGAGGCCAAAAGCCTAAAACTCAAATGTCTGACATACTTCACTATAGTTACTCAGTTTTTGTTATCTCGTTTTCTAACTCTATGTATAATAATAATCTTTTTCAATGAGACTGTTTTCTCTTTGTAGAAAGTTAATGTTATTTAAAGTTAGATGTATATTTATATACATATGTACATACTCGTCCAAAACATTGCATTTATTTCTCCTTGAAATTGTTTGTTCTTTTATTGATATTGACACATAACTTCTAACCTCAGTCCAAACACCTCAGGGTTGGGGTTGGGGTGGAAAGTGTGGGAATACAGGCAGAACTCTTGACTGACCTTCAGGCAGCCTGGAAATGTCAAAATTCCATTACAGTTTTCTCCATGCAGCTCATTGACTAAGAGAATTCTGGAAGCCAAGATCTAGAAGCACCCAATTTTGAATTGAATAAGCCCTTGAAATTTCATTTATGTCGGGGGGGAAAAAACCCTTTTTATAAGCCTGCCTCTTAGCAAGGACTCAGAGGCCTTAGTAATTCAGAATCTGAATGTCCCCATTTTAGCAGCACACTGTATTTTTTAAATGAACATATCCAGTGTTTTGGCTCTTCTTTTTAAAAGAATTATTTTTTTTAACTTTGTTTATTTTTTTAATTTGCCTAGAGAAGGAGGTAGGGGAGAGAGGGAGAGAGAGGGAGAGAGAGAGAGGGAGAGAGAGAGAAAGAAAGCTACCAGGTCCAGGACACAAACCGTGGTCAGCCATGTAGGAGTCCAGCACCCTTCGCCACCACACCACCTGCTGACCCCAGTATAACAATTTTCTAATGATACTCTCATTTGAGTTTTCAATATACATTGAGGATATGTTACCAGAGTAGAAAGAAACAACTGAGCCCTTTAGGCATGTATATTGTAGGTGAGCCTGGTCCCCTCTCAGCAGCTTTTCTATCCGAGGGTAATTGGACAGAGCAGCAAGAGCTGGCACTTAAGCATCTGCTTTGTTTGTTTGTTTGTTTTATTTGCAAGAGAAAATTGGCACTTGCTGGAGAGGGAGAAAGTATACTACCCCCTCCCCCCAGCACCCCACCCCCGTCTTGGGGAATCATCATGCCGCAGTCCCTTCTCCATCTCTCCCTCCTTTTAGGGTTTTGCTCACGCATGTACACATGCCTTGCATGTTTCTCAGGCCACAAAGACTCAGATCACAGCCAGCCTTATGGGATCCAGCTTCTGAAACCACCAGGCCCCAGGCCAGCCCTTGAGTGTGTACATTTTGATCACCAGTAGCAATTTGGAGCAATGTTTTTAAAACGTCAGTTTAGGGCCAGCAGGTGGTATGGTGGTTAAGGCCCTGGACTCACACATGGCCAGCTGCCACCCCACACTTGGCAGCATAAAAATCACAGCAGGTGCGAGGGTATTCGAGTCCTGAATCCCAATAGGAGGGTGGAGGGCAGGGGATTGCTCTGTGACTGACCCCCAAGGGGTAATTTCTCACTTTCCCTCTCTCTCTCTCTCTCCAGTGAGCGCATGTGCCCTATGACAAAAACTTAATAAAGGGGGCCAGCAGATGGCTTAATGGTTATGGTATTGGATTCCCATGCAGTTGACCACAGTTAAATCCTGGACTCGGTGGCTTAAAACTTACACTGGGCGCTTGTGTGTGCATGCCCATAATCCCAAAAGGAGACTAGAGGAGAAGGGATTGCAGCGTGACCATCCCTGCTGGGGGTTGATTTTTCGCTTCTGTCTCTGTCTCTCTAGCTAGCATACGTGACTTATAGCTAAAACCTCTCTTTTTAAAAAAAATGTAAAAACCTAAAACAATTTATTTTTAAACTTCATTTTAGTTTTTTGATAAACCATTTAATCATTTGTACATTCCTGCAGAATATCCATTTTCATTTATATATTATTCAGAATTAAGTAGTAAATGTCCAATTTGACTTATCCAGATGTCACAGAAGTTACACTAGAGGAAATTACGACATATGAATTTAAAAGCATTGTTTAAATAACATTGAGCTAATATGAGGATTTTTAGTTTTTACTTGTATTTATACTTTACTCATTTATGCTTAAAGTATTTTTAAAAAGTAAATGTAATTGAAATGTACTCTCCGAATTTGTTGTTGTTAACCTCATTGCTATTAGTTATTTCTAAGCAAGGTCTTTAATTTTTTTTCTCTCTTAATTGCAATACAGAAAGCTATGGAATAGATGAAGGTAACAGGGTTCCTTTAAAAAATAACCGCTTTTGCTTGCAATCGCAACCTATGGAGTGGTATGGGATGTTAAAGTTTTCAGTTCACTTTTGTTTTTTTAAATGATTTGTCATTGGTTTACTCATCCCGTTAAATCAATGGAACTACTAGCTAAAGTGATTTTAAAGAGGAAAATAATAATCCAAAATTGGGGTTGAACGTTCTGCGTGATTTATAATTTGATAAGCCAGGGAGAAAGTTTTGTAGTATCAGAGACTGTTGGCCCATCCAGTGGAGGTTGCACTGGTGCAATACAGTACAGTACAGCCAGGCTATGGGGATGGGTTTCTTCACTGAAATACATCGATATATCAACTAGTTAATGAAATTAGGATGCAGTTGACTATGTTCCCAGTGGGTATTTTCTTTCTTTGTGCCTCAGCACTGTACTAAATAATAATTTTTAAAAAAATATCAACAATTGAGTACATTAATTGGAGGCACATGTTCTTGAAGTGTAACGTACTCTTAGGTTGATAATCATTAGCCTTGATTCAGAGTCATCTAATTTGAAATTAGTTTGTAGAAACTACCTCTTTAAACTCTTTTAGCACCATGAATAATATAGAGATAGGATTATAATGAAGTGGAAAACTCTTCAACATCCACAACAAAGTTTACTGATGACACAATTTTATATTGTCTCCATATTTACAGATTTTAGTTATTTGTAAAATAATTGCTTTAAACAACTTCTTATACCCTCATTAATATCTAAACTAATAGCAGTTATTAATTTTAAGTATATAATTTAATGCTTGGAGCAATTATTTAGGAAACAATCAACTAAATATAAAATAAACCAGACATTCACAAACTCTTAGAAACAAAAAGAAAAAAAACTACTTTTAATAAAATTCATGTTCTTAGTAATTCATCCAATATAACATAAGTTTCTTTTAAAATGTTTAAGAGAATTCCACTCCCTCGAAAGCGTTTTTATAGATTTATGTGCCACAGATGAAATGTTTGCTCATGGATGACAATGAAATGAAATGTGGCAGATGTTATTTCTACATTTAGAATACAGCACTTAAGTGTTAACCCATGTATGGGTCGTGTTTTGCAGCCAGGGATTATGAGATTCAAAGAGAAAGAATAGAACTTGGACGATGTATCGGAGAAGGCCAATTTGGAGATGTACATCAAGGCGTTTACATGAGTCCAGTAAGTCCTTTATCACTACCAACATCCAGACTGATTCTGTCTATGATTAAATTGCCTCTCAGTTGTCTTCGTGAGTTTTCTGTTTTTCTAAATCTTCATAGTTGTCTTTTATAAAACTTACCCTAGCTGCCTACTTACTTGGCATATTCAGAAACCAAAAAACAGCAAAACTAGCTTCTGGGTCTGTCTTTAATTCATTTCAGTCTTTCAGCCTGTGTCATCATTAATAAGTTTATTCCATGGGGGGGCTGTTCCACTGGATAGAATTGGCAACTTGGATAATTGGAGTGTGCAACAGCCAGTATTCCCACTTCACCATGTTTTCAAGAAAAGAACATTAATTTGTCCCAACTTTACCCTCCAGGACAGATCAGTGAATTTTAAAAATTATTTTTAGTAATAGCTTCATTAGAATATAATTTACATACTATAAAATTCACTCTTTAAAAGTGTGCAGTTTAGGACCAACAAATAGTATAATGGTTATGTTGCTGGACTCCTGTGTAGTTGACTACGGTTCCAGTTCCAGACCTGGTGGCTTAAAACTCACACCGCACACGTGCCCAAGATCCTGAGAGGAGAATGGAGGAGAAGGGATTGCGGTGTGGCCATCCCCCCTGGGAGGTGATTTCTCACTTTCTCTTTCTTTCTCTCTGGCAAGCATATTCTTTTAACAAAAGTCTCTCTCTGAATAAAAAGAAAATATCTCTCTCAAAATAAAAAAGGTGTGCAATGTAGTGCTTTGTAGTATATTCTCATAGTTGTACAGCCATCCCCACGGTCAATTTTAGAGCATTTTCTTTACCTCACAAAGAAACCTCATACCCATTACAGTTCTTTCCGTACCAGCCCCTGGCAGCCATCAGGTACTTCCCAGCTCTGTCGCTCTGTCTGCTCCGGGTGTCGCGCGTAAGTGGAACCATATGATACGTGGTCTTTGGTGGTTGGCTTCTTCCACTCCATGCGACGTCTTTGAGATTGATCCGTGTTGCAGGGTGGCAGTACTTCATCTCCTTTGTTGCCAGATATGGTTCCTTTGTGTAGACATTCCACTTTTTGTTCATCCACCATCGGTGGACGTTGGCGTTATTTCCACATTTTGGCTGTTAAAAGGCTGCTGTGCACTTTCATGTGAAGGTTTTCGTGTGGACATACGCTTTCAGTTCTCTCTTATGCACACCTAGGAGTAGAAGCAGTTTACATATGGTAGGTGTGCTCAACTTTGTCATCAACTGCCGAGCTGATGTCCCAGGCAGCTGTCCATTTTACATGCCTGGCATCAGCATGGAGAGTGCCAGTATCTCCGCGCCCTCCCCAGCACCTGTCGGTGCGTCTTCTGTAACTTAGGTCAGGAATTTTTTTCCAAGAATTACTTGTTTAACTTATTTTTTAATTTGCTATAGGGTACATGTGCTCACCAGAGAGAGAGGGGGAGGGAGAGGGAGAGACAGAGTGAGAAAACAAGCTGCCAGGTCTGGGACTCAAACTACGGTCAACCATATGGGAGTCCAGACCCTTAACCACCACACCACCTGTTGGTCCCAGATCAGTCTCTTTTTTTTTTTGGAGAGGTTTTTGCTATAGGGCGCATGCGCTCGCCAGACAGATAGAGACATAGAGACAGAAAGCGAGAAATCACCCCCCAGGGGGGATGGTCACGCCACAATCCCTTCTCCATTCTCCTCTCGGGATCCTAGGCACACACGCACATGCGCCCGGTGTGAGTTCTAAGCCTCCGGGTCCGGGACATGAACCGCGGTCGACTACGTGGGAGTCCAGCGACATAGCCTTAACGCTAACTGCTGGTTCCCATTTTTAAGGTGACATTTTAAAATAACAGTACATGCTTACTCAAGAAACTATTTTTAAACTAAAATAATAATAGGCATACAGAGATGGTTCTAAAGTTAAAGTAGTACAAATAACTGACCTTTTTCTCGTGTCCCTACTTTGGAAACTGCAGATGGTGTTTCGTACCCAATAGCTCCATATCTACTATTTCTATGTGTGTACATTTATTTTTTAGGTTTTTGCTGTAGGGGGCCTGCGCTCACTGGCTAGAGAGAGACAATTGAGAGGGGAAAAAAACCCACAGGAGCTGACAACACTAATCCCTTCTTCATGCTACTCTTAGAATTTTCAGCACGCAGCATAGGTGCCCAGTGACACTTTTTGTCTTTTTTTTTTTTTTCCCAATCTTTTTCACTTGCCCAAAGAAAGAGAGAAAGAAAGTGAGAAAGCAAGCCACTTACTAAGTCCAGGACTCAAACTGTGGTTGGCCATGTGAGGGTTTCCAGCACCTTAACCACCATGCTGCCTGCTGACCAGTTTTTAATATTTTTTACACACACATTAGGGATATGCTGAATGTTACTATTAGAAAAGATTTTCTGTGAGCAACAGTAAAGATTAGAAGTTCCTTTTTTCAGCATTCAGTGTAAAAGCTGTGGCTTTGTGCTCTGAGAAACCAGCATGGACAAGAGGAGGTCTGGGTGCCCTTGGACGCGGATGGCCGGGAAAGTCTCCTGACAGGTGGCTTGGGAGCAGGGCCCTGACACAGGGAGCCAGGCACACAGTGGTCCCCTGGGTGGTGTGTTCTAGACAGAGGAGCAGCAAGTGTAGGGGCCGTTATGCAGGACATGACACACCAGGCCCCCAGCGAGAGGGTCCTGTTCAGAGAGGCCTCGCTGACCATCTGGGGATGGGAGATTCGGGGGAAGGGTGGGCCTATAGGCCCTGGTACAGTTAAACTTTGGTACTAAGTGGGCTTGTGGGCAAGGACTTAGAACCCCATTCTAAGATAAAACCTGGCGCTCATCTGTAGGCTTACTGGTGCACATAGGCTTTCTCCATTAGGCGAGGTTATTGGGCTTTTTAATCCTCTGAACACCTACTGGTGCACAATCATATCATTATCTGAATCTTAAAAATCTAGTTTTAAGTCTGCTTTTTCCTCTCATTTATTCTAGGATAATGCTCTAGATTTGTTTGTTAAAATCTTTAAAATACTGACTAGCAGTTACTAGTTCAGATCCTAATCATGCATTTCTTATCTAGGCGTAGTTGCCATGGTGTGGCATTGACTCAACATTTCAACCCTTCCTGCATCCCTGAATGTTGCTCGTATCCTGAGGTTTGGGATCTCATCTTGAGCAGTAACATTTTCGTTTTACAAAGAGCTCTTTGTGTGTGTGGTCTCACTTGCTTTGCACTGGCACATCCTTCAGCAGTCTAGTCTCACTGTAACCAGCCCCTTTAGCAGTTGACCATCCCCTAGACCTCCACCGTCCACTTTGGGAACTACTAGCCACACATTTTAGTGGCTGAGCCCCGTGGCTGCTCTTGTGTGGCCCGCTGCGTGTGTGCCGCCTGTGAGTCTCAGGCTCCTCAGTAGCATCTGCAGTGCCATGTGTGGTTACGGACTCTTGAAAGGCTCTGAGCGCAGACTTTTAGTGGGAGGCGTTCTTGCTCTATGTCTGAGCCCACTGCTCTGTCCTCTAGGGACCAGGTCACCGTTTCCACCTAGAATCCTGCCTGTAGCATCTGGCATGTAGCCATGCCCCTTCTAGAGGTTGAGAAAGGTACTGTAGTCCCCTGAGTCTATGTTACAATCATTCTACCATTTATATTCCTCTTACTTGAAAGCATTTTATTTCCTAGAATTATATGGTGTACAATTAGTACAAAATCTAAAATAAATAAATACAGTTTAAGGTATTTTAACAACATGCCACAGCTAATTAATGAGCAGCCACATTTAAAATAAAGGTATAGTAGCATTTATTAATCTGCAAATCTTTGGCATGCAAATACAGTGAGTCAGATAGTATGCTAATGGGGATTTTTTGGGTAAAAAAGACAGATTTGGTCCCTGCTCTGTTGAAGCTCGGTCAGTGCTGGGAAGTGGGTGGCCGTACTGTAAAGGACGGTGTCCATGGTGCCTGCATTATAATGTCTACATAATGACGCAGTGGCATGAGAGGGGCCGCAGTAACCGCAGTCATGGGACTTAAGGAAGGGAGACACCTGAGTGAGTGAGTAGGACATTGTGGACTGTGAGAAGGTAATGAAGAAAGCCGGGTGGTGGGCACTGTTTTGGGTAGGATGATCGGAGGGCCTCTGTGACTAAGGACCTACTGCAGGTATCTGGAGCTCAGCACCATGGGAACTTGGCGGTCAGGCAGAGCAGGAGGGGCTGTCAGGAGTGCTGTGGGAGAGTAGCTAGGGTGCGAGTCAGGTGGGAAGTCGGCCTGTGGGCCCTGGTGCAGAGTCGTACTCTGAATCTAAGTATCATGGGACAGAAGCCCACGGAAGGTTTGAGCAGTGTAGTGAAATGGTCTGATTGATATTCTGGAACCATCTCACTGCCATGTGGAGATCATAGGTGCTACCATCAGCGCTGGAGCAAGGTGGCAGTGGCTGCTCTGAGGGTGCTGACAGTGGAGGTGCCCACAGTAGGAGGGGAGCAGGGCACGTCGGGCGCGAGATGTGTGCAGGAGGCAGGACATCGGGACCTGCTCCTGAGTTGTTGGACGACGAGGGTGAGGGAAATGGGAGCATCAGAAGGGCTTCTGGGGGCTGTATACATCATGGGGAGCCGGCTTCTGGGCTGTTTATCTTGAGCTGGTATATGAATACCGTTTCCTTAGGTGAGGCGGAGAAGACCAGACGTGAAGGTGCCTATTAGTCCAGTTCTCCGGAGAGACAGGACCAACCTATGGATAGAGGGAGATACTGGCTGTGAGGCACTGATGCCTGAGGCCGTGGCAGCTCATAGGTGCCACGGTCTGCAGTTGGCACGCGGAGACCCAGGAGAGCTGATAGTGCAGGGAGGCCTGAGAACCAGGGCACAGCTCAGTTTGAAGGCAGAAAAGAGCCAGTGTGTCAGCTCAAAGGCGATGGGCAGAAAGGCTTTTCTCTTACCCATGGTTGGCCTGGCCTTACGTGAGGCTGCTTATGCTGGGGAGGACAATCTGCGTCACCCGTCTTGGCACTTTAAATGGTTTTGTAAAAATACTTATTATCATTATTTTCAATTTGACCAGAGAGAAACAGAGAGAGAAAGTGAGAAAGGAAGCCACTAAGTCTGTGACTCAAACTGTAGTCGGTCAGGTGGAAGCCCAGTGCCTTTAACCACCATGCCACCTGCTGACCTGGTACTTTAATGTTAAACTCGTCCAGAAATACTCACAGAATCATCCAGAATTCTGTCGCACCAGATATCTAGGCACCTCAGAGCCCAGTCAAATGGACACATAAAATTCTCAGTCACTGTAGACTGTTGGGAGTTTTATTTGGGTCATGTTCAGTTTAAAATAACCTCTATGGGACCAGCAGATGGCATAATGGCTATGTTGCTGGACTCCCATGTAGCTGACTGTGGTTCGAGTCGCACACCCAGTGGCTTAAACTCACGCTGGGCACACGTGCATGTTTGCCCCAGATCCTGAGAGTAGTATGGAGGAGAAGGGATTACAGTGTGGCCATCCTCCCTGGGAGGTGATTTCTTGCTTTCTGTCTCTCTGTCCTTCTCTGTCTTCCTGGTGAGCACACATACCCTACAGCAAAAACCTCTAAGAAAATAAATAAATAAAATAAAATAACTTCCATATTCAAGTCAGGAAAAAGAATAGGTAAGTTTGATCAATTTTGGACTGAAAAGAAAGTCAGGGCTACAGGTATCAATTTTGAAATCAGCATATAAATGGAATGCACAGGAGTCCTTCGATGTGAGCTAAATGACAGAAATAGGACCTGGCCCTGTGCCTTTGTCAGCACTGAGGGGACGAGGCTTGTCTTCCCAAGTCTGCTCCAGTGCAGGCTCTCCTGCCCGTGACCGGTGCC